TTCCATCCGAAACTGCCCTCAAGTTAAAATATTTAAAAATTTAAAACATTTGAAGTAAAAATGTTAGGCTCCTCCTTGTTAATTCATCCCGAAGATGGGAGATGTCAGCTTGAGGTTGTATGGGCTTATGGTTAGATGTTTCCTATGCGTTGTGTGTTGTGTGTTTGAAACAATTCAAAAAAAAAAATAGTTTAAAGCTTTACGTTAAAATGATAAATTGTAATATTAGAATTAAATAGGAATTAAGATATTTATAGTTTACAAGTCTTGTTTAAGATTATGACCGCTCCATATCTATATATGTGCTTGGTTGTTCCGTTGTAATAACAGTTGTGATGTGGGGTAACTGCATGCTGGGAGCTTTCCTAAGAATATGGGTCATATTGGTTTCTAACCTTCCTGTAAAATGAGTTTTACTCTGTTTTACTTATATTACGATTGATACGTAGGATGTCTCGTATAATCGTATCTCTAATGGCTACCTACTAGCATGTGAAGGCTATACTCGTTATTCTGGGTATCACTCTGGGGCTGTTTATACGTTTAGTTAGCTGTAACAATTTAGATTATAATATAAAGTTTGTGTGTGATAGTTGTTATTAAATGAAGTCTTTGGGTTATTTGGTACATGTACTGACATACTCAAATTTGATGTTGTGTATGTATACAGTTCCCCTAATGGTGTTATTATTATGCTGTAGTGGTTTTGTCTGAACTGCTTGTTAAGGGGTACCTGTGTATATGTGTACTGTGTACAATCGAAGTTAACAATTGCATTTTAAGTATATGAACTACAAGTTTTTTGCATGAAAAGACTGATGCTTACAGAGAGGTTTGAAGTCCAATAAGCTATAATTCATGTATATTTCATACCACTGTTTTTAAAATAAGTGTGAGGGTGATGCGTCAGCCCTCAAGAAATCACTGAGGGCTCCATCCTGGAATGCTCTGGTTTGTCTATGGCTCTGCCAGTCCATTCAGTGTGGTGTAGACACATGATGGTGGTGACAGTGAAGGTTGTTACACCATGTAGTTTTGTTGGCAAATGCTGATGTTTCAGAGGAATATAATGACTCCATCTTCAGGATTAAACCCCAAGGTTCAGCCATGAAGAATGCATGTTCCACTGAAATGTCAGTTTCCTTAAACAGAATTATGCGATGTCACAATCCAGAAGATAGTAGTCTTAAATAATCACTGCTGTGAAAACCTCAAGGCTTTTATATGTTGGTAACAGTGACATTTGAGCAGTTCTGGTGGAGCATAGCTGGCTTGAATCAGTGGTATGGGAGGGTGGTGCACCTTTATTTACCTAATTTTAATTTCTTGCATCCTGCCGTGTTACAATATATACAACCTCTTTATTTGACCTTCACTACACAGCAAATATAGAACTTCAAGGACAGTGCTCAGTATAGTTCTGCTACATGTTTCGGCCACGAGTGACCATCATCAGGCAAACACACTTCAACAAATGTACACGATTGAACTGCAGTACATAAAATTTGATACAATGTTATAAATCATTTAAGTTAATTTGCACAAGAATACAATAAGTAGGTTATTTAAAACAGTAACAAGTCATATATAAAATTAAAATTTGATTAATGTTTAATAACATCGAATCGGTCATTGGTTTTACTTTTCATACATTTCTGTCGACGAATAGTAAATTCGAGTTTCTTATAAAATTGTGTAGGAGGTCCAATAATGTTGTGAATTAATTAATGGAATAGTTTGAGCTTCATCATACGGAGAATTGGACGTATTGTATGGAAAGTAATCAACTATTGAAGTTCTATATTTGCTATGTTGTGACGGTCAAATAAGGAGGTTGTATTTATTTACCTAGCTCTAATACAGCAGACCAAAACTTTAGTCCAAAGGAAGACTACCCATTGCCTTGTCATAAAATGGTAAAACTATCCCTGTAATAGGTCGTGGAGGCCCATAGGGTTGTGAGACGTCGAGATTCCCACATTTTCTAGACAATCTGCTCAAAGATGATGGTGAGGTTGCAAGTCTTACATGCCAGCCTCGCTTTGCCCCCCCAAGAAGATTCCTGTTACTCATTTCTGTTAGAGACTGAGTTGACCCTAGGGCCATAGTGCAGCTGGAGGGATTAGGTTAATTAAAAATCCAGTGAACTCATCGGGAATCTAACTTGTGACTTTCTGGCTTCCAGCATAATGCCTCAACCAACTGTGCTACCACCTGCCCCTTATCATATGAATGATATATATAGAATTTAAATTTATTGATGCAGTCGAAATGAAATGGATGTAGCTCCTTGGCTACTCAACTTTGGAGCCATTTTGTATAGTCTGTTTCTCAAACATGCTGTTGTAACACATCATCTGAATTGTTTACATAGTTTGTTACACCCCTTTCAAAGGTTATATTAGTTTGGTTGTGATGTGGAACATTTGCATGGAAGGAAAGTACAAGCCTCTTTTCTGATATGCCTGTGTTTTCCACAATAAAAAGAAACATTAATTCAAATATACATCATTCAATTTTTCTGAAGGGTTTTATTCAAGAGTTGAGAAATTGTTTCATAGAACAAATGTCACTTTAACCCTTTGAAGAGATTTTTTTTCTCTGCATCCATTGGGACCATCATATATACAGTCATATACTCTGTGGCATGCTAGCATTTATTGTACATGTTTTATGGTTGAAACACTCCAGAAGATAACAGATGTTATCACAAGCACTGACTGTGTACAACCCTCTGGAATACAAGAAAACGTGTATTGTATACACATTCTAATATTTAGTATACTGATACAGGTGTGCTGTGTCATTGTACAAATACATTCTTAGACTCTAAAGGGTTCTGACAATGGTGGATAACACACAGAATTACTGGGTTTGGGGGGATTTTCCATCATATGGAATTCTAGGTAATAAAAACGTGATGTTTCAGAAACTGGATCTGTTTCTGTCTTCAGGTGAGGAAGGAAGACACCTACTCAGTTTGGCCCCTTAGAAAGAGCTAATTTCAATCACTGGACACCCCTGTCATATTTACCCAGCTATTTGAACATAGAAGACTAGGTTAGTCCAGCAGGAGGTAACACAATTATTATTTT